GGAGAACTCTTAACATGCACCACACCAGTGTCAATCAAGGTAAGTTCATCTTTGTTACAAGGAAATACAAAATATATATATTTTTTCATAATTGGGAAATACAAAATCTTGCTTCAATATATATGAATCGAACACCGACTTATTTATTAATTTATTTGTTGAAATAGGTGAGCACAATTACACATCCCTTTAGTCTATTTATTTATTTTCTTTTTCTTTTTTTTTAAAAAAAAAACTCACATACTTATTTATCCTTAGAGTAACTTGGACAGTACATCACATTTCATTTAAAAAAGGAAAACTCCCTTAATTAAACTATTTCAAAATCAAGGACCTCATAACACACTAGTATTTCATATATCTTTCAAAATGGAGTCTTCAAATGAGCAAAGTGGTGTGTGAATAATGTGTGTGAGTTTCCTGCCATTCAAAACATCACATAACTACTTATACTAACAAATCACCCACCAAAAACTAACAAAAATGATAATTTTACTCCCAATGTGAAATTACAAAATTAACCCCATGTTAAAATCATAAAACATTCCCCTTGTACTATCGAAAATCAATCATATAACCATCTACACTAAAAATTATATATCTTCACAACTCCATTACATTTTTAAAATCCATCATATCACTCCAATCCTTTTGTTTGTTGTCAAATAATATCATGTGCCAACTTTTAAGATAATATATGACCAAGATGCCCTTTTAATCCCTTAATAACCAAGATGCCCTTTTAAACCCCAAATCGAGTCATTGAATCCATTCAGGGATGGAGTCAGGAATTTTGATTAGGAAGGGGGGACTAGGGAGGGGCAAACTTGTATTATGTAAGTAAAATTTAAAATTTATAAATAATTGCAATATAAATTTCTATATAATGTTAATTTTAGTATATATGTATATATGTTAAAACAATAATCCAAAAATGAGAAAAGTGCAACCTAAATAAATATATGAAAAACTAATATTAGAAAGAAAATGATTTTTAATTTAGTAATTGTTTCAAATTTTTAATAATTTTAATTTCTAAAATATTCTTTTTTGAATACTTTGATTAAACTTTGACAAAGATATATCATTATTAACTTGATGATTTTTTTTTTTTTTTAAATATCTAATTAAACAAATTTCATAAGGCTCAACAAAACAGGATTATAATTATCAGAGAATTAAGTACTTTAGCAGTTTATACAATGGATAGCAATAAATTTTTTTATTTATAGTTAAAAATATTAACATATATAATATCATGGAAGCCTCGAAGAATCACCAAAAGTCTCGAATAATATTATATATATATATAAAATATTATTGTTAGTATTCTTGCCATTAAAACTCAATATCTTAATTTTTTTTTTTTTTTTTTTAATACTCGCAAGACTTTTGGTGATTCTTTCGAGGCTTCCAATTAGGACCCTCAGGTGCTTTTGTATAACTATATTGTGTTTTCCATTATATATTGAGCTTATTTTTAGTTGCTCGAGCTTTGGAGAGGACTTCAAAACCAATATTTAGCCACACCAAGTTATAACAGTCTCCTTATCCACGAGTCCTAATCCCTCATGTTAACTTTGCTAGAATTAATCGAAAGAGGGAGAGTAGAGCAGCCTCAAACTTTTCCTCCGTTCTCTTTCAACCCCCTCTCTCTCTCTCTCAGCCGCTCGTCTCCTCCCGTTTTGTTTCCTTCTCCCTTCAATAAGAATGGGTAGGTGACCTAGCTTGCCTCCTACAAGTTAATAACATCGGCGTGTCTCAATAAGTTCGTCATGTGAGTTGTTTTTCACGTCGTTTTTTGTTTTCTGTGACTAGATCTGCTCTTGTTTGGTTTGTTTTCAGCTCGATAGGATGGATCTGTTGTTTTCCCTTCGACTAGATCTCTAATCTGGGTCGATTTTTGTTTTCCCTGGCTTGATTTGATCTTGTGCGGGGTTGGGTGTGTGGATGTAATGTCTGTGTATATATGTACATATGTGTATATAATTGTGTGTGTGTGGTGTAATTTAAAAAAAAAAAAAAAAAAAAAAAAAAAAAAAAGAAAAAGTGGGACCCACACCCCATTTAAGTGGATTGTGAGACCACATTTGGTCTCTGCTTCCTCACTCTCTCCCGTCTCTATCTGCTCTCGGCTTCTCTTTCTTTTTTTTCTTTTTTTCACTTCAAGCTTTCATTGTTGATTTCTCCCTCATCTCTTAATGTTTTTAAATTCGATTTGAGGCAAAATGAAACCCACGACGAGCTCTACGCGGTTGTACCAACAATTTCAGTTTTGGTGCTCATTTATGCATTCGAGTTTAGAGACCTACTTTCAAGGGTTTTGTTCAATTTAGAGGTAGAGGCTCTTAATCCATGTTTTTTCTTACTCCATTGTGAATTATATCTCTCTTGTTGTGACAAGCATGTTTAATTTGGAAGTTAATTGTTTCAATGATTATATTAATGATGTTTGGGAAAATTCATGATTATGAATATGAGTAGAAAAACATGCTTAGAGGTTGTCTTGTTGTGTTTAATGTGTTGATAATTCATTTGGAAATGTTGAACATGATGTATACTTAATTTTGTGGTGTAAAATTCTAAATGCCATAATATTGAAAGCATGGGACATATATACATGTACATACCATTGGGTTTGCATGAAATGGGAGAATTCACTTGAAACAAAAAGGGAAATTTTGGGAAAAGAGTTTTTACGAAATGGTTTTATAAAAACCCGGTCGCCGCGGGGGTACCAAAGGGTCGGAGTGTTAATATAGCCTAGAGGGGACTAGGGAGTTGACCTAGCGTGGTTGAGCTAACTAGGCCCCATAATGACACCGCAGGGGTACCAAGGGTCAGGGACACTAGCCAATCCTCCTCTCATGCCGCTGCGGGGTCACCAAAGGGTGGGTTGTATTAACAATTTGAAAGTGATGGTTTTGAAATGTGAAAATAGAGAGCGACATCGGCATGCATTTGCATTCCATGGTATTACATTGTTTGCACTTGAGTTTGGTTGAAATGTTATATTATCCCGACATTGTATGATCCCCATTCCTATTGATCTATTCTTTGTATGGACTCACAAGGACACAAGATGCGTGTCTTAAGTGCTACCTACTAAGCTTTATGCTCACCTTATTATTTAATAATTTTTTTTCAGGAAACGGGAAAGAAGTGGCGGATGACTTTCCACCACAGACCTAATTTGGATTAGAAGACTTCTTTTTGCTATTTTTGTATTAAGTCCCATATTTTTGTAAAATCTTAGTTTGTTATATTTGGTATAGAGATTTGTGAACTCTTATTATTGTAACTATATTTTGGGACTGTAATTATGATAATTTGGATTAAACGGTATGTACATGTTACACCATGAGATGAGCCATGTTGAGGTATAATGAACGGATGGATGGAATGTTGGAGTATGTTAATTGTATTATGTGTTGGGACAGGTTTGAGGTGTTTTGAAAGGCCAGGGCCATTACGTTTTTTTTTCGTTATTATTTGAGTAAGTGGGTGTAGTACCCTTTTTAGGGGAGGTCATGCCAATTTTTTTTTAAAAAAATGGTATCAGTTTAGGGTCGTTCCAGTGGATGCGTCTTGTAGATGCAGTTTTGAAGCTGTTGCCTTGATGATGGTCTGATCTTTGGTCCCTCCAGTTACTGCTCTTCTCACTTGGTGGTTTCTGTTCTAGAGCAGTGGCTCTTTCTCAACAATTCTGGAGCCTATGCTTTATTTTTATTGCTTTGCTTCATGATTTGTTTATCTTTATTTAGTTTGGCTTATGCCTCTGTATTGTTACTTTGATTTGGCCTTTGTGCCTTTCAAATAATAAATAAATCGAAAGAGGTATTTTTACCCCAAAAAAATGAATATATATATATATATATATATATATATATATATATAGCTCATACATTATATACTTTTACATACTATCATCATGGACTATCTTTTAAAAAAAAAAAAATCAAATTCGTCTCCTCCCCAACTGCCAAACAAGTCCTTCTGGTCTTGTCCATCAAATTAATTGACTAATATTTAACATTTATCTTCTATGATTATGTGCTTATAATTTATCCAAGTAAGTCGTAAGACACAGTTCACAGCTAATATAATAAAGCTTATATATATATATATATATATATATATATAGTTGAAATGCTAGTGAAGTAAAAAATAATACATGTTGCCTTTGAAATAATTTATGAAATAATCAACCTTTTGTGTCTGGCCTTATCCATACTTCTCCCATAAAGGAAGCCATTTGTGCCCAGCATAAGTAAGCAACGGCCATGAACACTAATTGCCAAGCGCTAAGTGGTTATATATCAATTTATTTAAATTAATTTAAAAATTAGCGAACAACTCTAAACACTATATGTTTGTCTTTTCAGAAAAAAAAAGAAAAAGAAAAAAAAGAATTATAAGATGTTTTAGATTTTAATAATACAAACACATGCAATTCATATCTAATCTATTAAACAACCCATTTCAGTATCTAGTATCTTAACATTTTGGTCAGCCGGACCCTAACTAATTTTTTTTTTAATCCACAAATGAAACAAGATTGAATTGATACCCTCTACTGCTTAAAACATTCAATTCAACATTGAGAAATATAAATAAAAAACTTGGAAAAATTAATGCATCTTAGAAAGTTGTAACACAGCTATATATATATATATATATATATATAAATGTTTATGCTTTTCCCTAAATAAATAAAAACTTGCACATTTGTTGAGTAACTAAGAATCAATTCAACCCTCTAGCTGCTTTGAACTCTAGAATGATTTATAAATTATAAATATATATTATAATATTGATTTGCAAATCATGAACATCATTTAAGTTGTCCGAAATTAAAAATTTAAGGAGAGTGACCCAAAAGTTTGACCAGTTGACTAGTGGGTGTGGGACACATTTGTTCATATTTATCTTATATATTAGATTTGTGCACTCCCCGATCATTTATGAGTCCAAATGCAAGTGATCTCTACCTAATACAGTGTTAAAAAATCGAACATATATCGCAATGGCTGAGCTCAGTGGAGGTGGTGGTCGTTGGACAGATATGAAGGGCTTCGGCTCATATGTGCTCACTGGCCGATGGTTCACCATCTTCGGCTCAATCCTGATCATGTCCGTTAACGGCGCCACCTACATGTTCGGCCTCTACTCTGGCGACATCAAATCATCCTTAGGTTATGATCAAACAACCCTCAATTTGGTCAGCTTCTACAAGGACTTGGGTGGCAACCTCGGAATCATATCAGGACTAATCAGCGAAGTCACACCGCCGTGGGTGGTTCTCCTCATCGGCGCGGTCATGAACTTTTCCGGGTACTTCATGATTTGGCTCTGTGTCACCGGACACATAGCCAAACCTCAGGTATGGCAAATGTGCTTATACATATGGATTGGCGCGGATTCGCAAGCTTTTGCCAACACAGGCTCTCTCATTACATGTGTTAAGAACTTCCCAGATTGCCGGGGAATTGTTTTAGGTCTCTTGAAGGGTTTTGTAGGGCTAAGTGGAGCCATCATAACACAAATATACCATGCTTTGTATGGAAACAATTCTAAGTCACTTATTCTTCTCATAGGTTGGCTTCCTAGTCTTGTTTCAATCTTGTTTCTTCAAACAATTCGGGTTATTAAGGTCACTCCACACTCGAATCAGCTCAATATTTTCTATAATCTCTTGTATATATCGCTTGGCCTCGCCAGTTTTCTAATGATCATAATTATCATGCAAAATAGTCTCACTTTTTCTAGGGTTGAGTATAGTGGAAGTGCTTTTGTTGTGCTTATACTACTCTTTGTCCCGCTCTTTGTTGTTATCAAAGAAGAGTTCATTGTGTGGAAGAGCAAAAAACAAGTGGTAAATGATTCAAATAATTGTGAACTAAAAGTTGTCACTGAAAATCCAAGTGCAGTACAAGTAGCACAGCCAGAGCCGCCACTGCCACCACCACCAACGCCGCCGCCGCCGCCCGAAGCTCCAATAAGCTCAAAAAAGTGCTTTGGTTGCACGAGCAACATGTTCAAGCCACCAGAGAGAGGGGAGGACTATAGCATTTTGCAAGCTCTCGTCAGCATAGACATGATAGTTCTCTTCATAGTGACCTCGTGTGGCATCGGAGGGACATTGACAGCAATCGACAATTTGGGTCAGATTGGCAAGGCTAGAGGCTATCCGAGTAGTAGTATAGCCACATTTGTATCACTCGTGAGCATATGGAACTATCTCGGACGAGTCATGGCCGGTTTTGCCTCCGATATCTTCTTGGCAAAGTACAACTTCTCTAGACCCCTAATGCTCACATTTGTGCTTCTTTTCTCTTGTGTTGGCCATCTTCTCATTGCTTTCACCATCCCAAATGGACTCTACTTGGCTTCGGTGATTATAGGGTTTTGTTTCGGAGCTCAATGGCCTTTAATTTTCGCAATCATATCAGATATATTTGGCCTAAAGTACTACTCTACATTGTATTATTTTGGGGCTGTGGCAAGCCCAGTTGGCGCTTATATTCTGAATGTGAAAGTGGCTGGTCATCTCTATGATAAAGAGGCATTGAAGCAAATGAAAGCGAAGGGGCTTAAGAGGAAAACCGGGGAGGACTTGGTGTGCACCGGCGAGGAGTGTTACAGACTATCTTTCATTGTGATTGCGGTGACGACATTGGTGGCGTGCATTGTTTTGTTTATTTTGGTGGTTCGAACAAGAAAGTTTTACAAAGGTGATATATATAGGAAATTCAGAATGGATGCTAAGGCAGTGGAGACGTCTGACATGGCTTCAGCCACCACCACCACCAAGGACGGCCAATCTTGATTGATGGATGGTCAATGAGAAACTGTTAGTTATAATTTGAAATTTACCATCATTCTAAATAACTGTAGTAACTGTTAATATATGTTTAATGCATGCAAGTTAATTTGATTAACTGGTTTTTGTTTTTTTTTTTACAAGAAGGACTTTTTACCGCGTGACACTTGCGTTGTAAATAATAGCCTGACCTACATATAAACCACTAGTGAGATATATACATTTTTTTACCCAAGTGTTTTTTAACCGTTGATATGTATGATATTAACACATGTTTATTTAGATCAAATTGTCAAATCAGTTTTTTTAACCGTTGATATGTATGGTATTTATCTTTATATGTATTTTCCTCTTTTTATAATTGTGATTTTGCTCTCCACTTCATTTTTTTATAAATAAATTGACACAATTATCCATTAATATTGGAGTGTAAGAATTATGATTATTTCTTGAAATAATTATGAACTGTGAGCTTTCAGAGGACATTAATATCATTTTATTTTTATTTTTTAAAATGTAATGAAGTGTGAATATCATTTCTCTATATATATTTGGTAATTTCTGTCACGGTTCACTTGGTTAGATATGTCCAATTTTTGAATTAAAATTGCACTTGATAAAATATTACTGATATAGTTCTAATTTTTAAAATGTGACGTCATTTATGGGACATGCTATCATAAATCACCCCTTAATTTGATATCTGTCATGTATGGTAAACATGCATCATTGATTAATTTGATATCTGTCTTGAATGATAAACATTCATGACGAAAGCATTCGATCCATGGTTGGATTGTCAAAGAAAAAAATTTCGGAATTTTTTTTTTTTTCTTTTTTCAACAAGGAAAAAAGGTTGTCATTGATCAATAGATTATCTATTTAGACTACTAGTACAAACAAAAACCTCCCATGAGAAGAATAGAACAGGCCCAAATAAATAAATAGCCCAGCCCAAACTTGAACTGGGTTTATTGGGCTATGAACCAACATTATACAAATTTTCAGCCTCAAGATAAGTCGGCACCGTTGTCCACAAGAGAGTTGACTAGAGGTCAAAATGAAACAAAAAATCAAGTAGGGGTGGTAGGACCAGTATGTGAAATTATTGATCACAAGAATCACAACAATTTCCAATTACAGTCCTTTTCCTTTTGAATAAATCAAGTCCACAAAAGTTGAATTAATTTGGTGGTTTCCAATAAATATTCCAATATATCTATTTCTCAGAGGCGAGCCAAATATGCACTTCCAACCCAATTCATGGTCGTTATCAATTTGATTATTCCATTCATGATATTTTAAATATTGCTACACTATATTATATAATATATGTCTACAAGTGTATATATATATGAATAGAAACAGCGACTTATATTAATTTATTTGATGAAATAAATAAGCACAATTACATAACCTCTTAATTTTATTTATATTTTTTTAAAAGAAACTGGAATTCTTATTTATCCCTAAATAACATTTTATATAAAAATAAATAAATGAGATGATTTCGTTTCACTTGAGTCATGGCATCTATTTTGTATTATTTAATTTACTTGCTATTTTTAGAATGAAAATTTTCACTAAACATGTATAACCCACCATCAATCCAACATCATGGTGGACATAGTTTCGATCTTGTGAGATCCTGGTGTTCATGCATGCGCACACCCTTTTGGAATTAAGTCCAACTTTTTTCTTTTGAAACACAACGTCACGGTCCTATGACTCTATTCATACACTTGGCAAAACAAGTCAACGGTGAAGCTAGTCTGAAATTTCTGACTTCCACACTACCATATAATCCAATATTTGTACAACTTATATATATGTAATCATATATACACAAATTTCTTACTTCCACAGCCCATATTATCCAATATTTGTACCACTCATATATATATATATATATATATATATATATATATATATATATATTTGCACACTTCTGGACTTCTCTATCATCTATCTGTCCAAACACATCCCTCTTTGACGGGATGGGTGTATTTATTTATTTATTTTTTAAGTTGTCACACACGTCTGTTCCGTGAAGATTTGAATCAATAATTTTTTTTGAAAAAGTAAGAACGTGATAGTTGAAATCTCATTAAATTATAAAATACTCTAATTGAAAAAAACTTCTCTCAAATTTTATCTATTATTTTCAAAAAAATTAAAAATAAAAACTTTATGAATTGTTTTAACAACAAACCTCCATGAACGGATATTTTAACTTGTTTAAGGAATTATGTTTTAGACGAAAATACCCTTAAATATTACACGATCTCATTCTCGGCCGTCGTTTACAAATCTTGTGTTCTGCACCCACCATCACTTGCGTGATCCATGACTCCTCATCATTGCCGACCGTTCCTCCTTGCTACCCGCTGTTCATCCTTGGTCAGGATCGAGTTCAAGCATCGGTAGGCAAGTGTACCCACTTCAACGCCAAAAATCCACTCACCGCCGTTTAGATTTGTTCTCCGGTTCAAGACCCACTTCTCATTCCGACGTGAAACTCCATCAGCTTGAAGACCGGTGACGACTAGAGAGCCATCAGCTTGACGACGCTTCAAACTACACAACTCAGTTCTATCCGGTGAGCCCCAAGCCTGGTGAAGACCAGTTCAGACCGACCTGTTCCCCGGCGAGTACTCTGAGAGAGTCCGAACCTTGACTCTTGCCTCTGTTTCCGGTCTGGCCTCCTCGTAGTCAACAGTCCATGCTCGTCGGTATAACAAGTCCTCCATGCTCGCCGCCACAAGCAGCCTTGAAGATGCAAGAAACTCCTACTATTCTTTCTCTCTCTAGAATTCTTACACCTCAACCCGAAAAGATCCCTCTCCTCTTCATTCCAACTCCTATTTATAGATCCTTACAAGATATTTACAAGATATTTGCAAGATATTTTCTGATTGCTGGACCTGGGCCTATTCCTCTGTGAGCCCTAGTCACCCTTGATGGGCTTACTCCCGCTCGGCCCATATGGCAGTGTCTTTCTATGGGCTGACCCAGCTGTTCGGACTGAAGGTTGTGTTTTGCGAGTCGGACCTGGCCCATGTCATCCGGGGCCTCCTCAACTGCCCCCATAATTGCCCCTTATTTAATAAGGGGTAATTATTGATGGCGTCTCATCATGACGCTGACGGCTCGAGATAACCACGTGGGGGAGCGGACGGTCAGATCCAGAATCAATGTTCCGGGGCTCGAGGGATTTCTTGCCTTCCCGACGCTTCGGCCCTCGGGCCCCCTCGCCTTTATAATGCTCTAGAATTCCACTTCACTTCTCTTTACCGTCTCCATCATCAGCCAAGTCTCTCTCTTTCTAGAACAGTGCTAAGCCTTTTCCGGTGAAATCCTTCGAGAGTCATTCTTCCAGCGATCTTGCAGTCCTCCGAGGTTAGTTTCGTTCTTTTTACTTTCGGCAGGCTTCCATTTTCCCTCTTTAGATTCTTCTAGCATTTCCACCATGGTTGTAGATCTGGATGTTCTTCGTATGAGACTTAGACTTCCTGACAACATCGAAGTTAGGGTTTGCCCCCAAGACGTTAATATTACGACCGGCGCCGGCCTCCTGCCCGGCGAAGTCTTATTCACGAACCTTCAATTGAATGTTGTTAGGTTCCCTCTGCACCCTTTCTTTAGTTATGTCTTCAATAGATTGGGGATATCCCCTCTGCAGGTCAACCCCAACTTCTTTAGGATCATATCTGTTATGCTCTTATTGATGCGTGACAGAAATCTGGATCTCGACCTCATAGACCTCCTTCTGTGCTATAAGGTCAGTAAGATCCGTACTAACGAGCCCTTCTACCACCTCTACCCGTTCGAGAAGATGTCCATATGCATTGACACAATAAAATCTGAAAAGGGTTGGAGGGATAGCATAGTGGGCATTAGTGGGGCTTGGTCTTCACCGGCTGCAGAGGATTACCCAATCCCGAGCGCCTTTGGTGTCTGCTCTGTCTCCTCCTATAAAAAATTCAAATCCCATAAACATGACTGCCCCTGTGAAACATGCGTTCCTCGTTTTTGCACTTACTTATGCCGCTCCTTGGGAATACCTTGTGATGACTTGAGCTATAGTGTTTGCAGGGATAGGAGTAACTACTTGAAGAGATACATTCTGAACGATATTCCTTCCTGCTCAGATCTCCTCACTTCAGACAACCTCTTTGCGCTCTCATCACTCGGCTACAACATGAGCAGACTGCAGATTCCCTCTTTTGGCAGGAGGAAAAATACTCCCCCAGCCACTCCTGCTGCTGGGGCGACCTCCTCTCCAGCGTCGGCTTCTTCTTCAGCCACCATATCTGACACTGTCCCGAGCGCAGTGGCTACTAACCCTGTTGCCAGCGCCCCTGCTGCCAACCAGAACGCGCCCTCCCCAGCTACCATAGCTCCTGCTGCTGCGGGGGGTGGTCGGGACAAAGAGCGAGGCAAAAGGCCTCATCCTGACAGTGAAATCGATCCGGAGGAGGAGCCTCTCATTAGAAGGACCCGGGTCTCTGGGCCGGGTACTCTCCTGCACCGAGCGATCAGAGCTCCTTCTCCCTCTGGGCCTCCCGCAGCTGGTGGCTCTGCTTCTGCTTCGGGCCCCCCTTCTATCCCCAGCTTACCGCCATGGGCCCCTCGGTACACCCGAACGGATGGGACGTTCGTGAAACCGAACGAGACCATGCTGAAGGATGGCCAGACCGCTATGGCCTACTACAGGAGCATGTGGACTCCGAAGGACATTGAGGCGGCAAAGGGTCTTTCCCAGAAGGACGTGTTCAGTCGCTTTCCCCAATCTGCTATGGAGGTGACTTTTATTTTCTAACTCATGAATTCTCTCATATTACTTGGTCCTGCCTTCGCCCGTTCTGACTATTGGTTTAACCGTTTTTAATGTGCACCTATGCAGACATTGTTCGGGATGATGGCCATGCAGAAGCAGGTGGAGATGGGGAACGCCAGGGCCCGAAAGTATTCTGACAGCCTGGAGGTGGCTAATAAAGAAAACGACCTCCTTGCCATGAAGAATACCGAGGTGCTGGTTCGGCTTGACAAAGCCGAGCAAGAGAGAGATGTCCTGAAGAAGGAGAATGATTCCCTTCAGGATGAGAAGGACGCCCTCCAGCTTGAGAAGAGCGTCTGGCAGACTGAGCGGGAATCAATCAGAGAAGAGAAGGCAGAACTCCAGCGCCTTCTAGCT